GAAGGGCAGAGGCTGGCTAAGCAGTTAGGAGGACCCAGGCCCATCCCCTATCTATCCTAGGCCACACAGGGAAGAGAGGGCCTTGATCCTCTTCATGACCTGCAGCTGTGACAACTGGATATGCGTACTGGCAAGTCCTGGAAACAAAGCATGGAAATATCTCTAGTTTATGGTTCCCGAGTTTGGCGTCCTTCCCAGTGTGTGTTCTGATATCTGTGGATGTTTTCAAGCCCTTATCTTGCCTGATTTGTGTTGTTTTTTTACTCTATAATTTAAATGGCATTTTTTAGTTTAAACGGCATTCCCCCCTTCTTGTAACTGCTTGTGTGGGAGTTTTTTTGTCTCCAATCAAGGATATTTGGAGCTTGGAAGCAAAGTGAAGGAATAAAAGGGGCTTCATCTGTTTTTTGGGGACTGTGTTTATTTTGTATCTCACCCTGGGTCATCACAAAAGACTACTGAAATATTTTATGAGGTGACACTTACAACCGTGGAAGCATCCCTAGGGTCATGTGATCAAAATTCAGATACTTGACCACTGACTCATATTTATGACAGTTGCACTATCCCGTGATCCCCATTTGTGACCTTCTGACGAGCAAAGTCAATGGGGAAGCCGGATTCACTTAAGGACCATTCTACAAATTGAACTGCAGTGATTCCCTTAACGTCTGTTAAAGAATACATTATCCCACAAGTTTAATAAACGAGTTTTATTGTAGTATTTCTATGTTTGCCCTTCAGTTGCTATAAACTTAACAGCTGCAGAGATTCACTTAAGAACCCCAGTGAGGAAGGTCCTAAAATGGGGCAAATTTCACTTAACAACGGTCTCGCAAAGGAACAGACATTTTGGACTCCATTCCGGTCGTAAATAAGAGGAGTTACCTGCATTGGCAGGTGCTTAAGCGCTCGCAAGATACTTCCTGAGTTTATTTACAGCACGGGAAATACATTCCCGCAGAAGTTTATATTTAGCTGCTTAATAAATCTGAGCCCGAACATAACTCAGCAAGACAAACCTCGTTGCTTAATTAAAAAGGCCATTTTTAAAAAGGGGGAAAGAAAAAAGAAAAGCAAACCAGAAGGACATTCCTTGGGCCAAGTGCGAAGATTAAGCGGCTGTCCAGCCAGCGGGCTCTTCTTCGCCAAGGAAGATCCAATCGAGGGCAGGAGGGTTTAAATCATGAAAAATAAACCATCTCAATGGCCTGTGCTCAATAGCAAGCAGAGAGGACACAGTCCACCTTGGATTAACGCATTTCCAGTTATAACAAGTAATTTTACAGAGGATTAGTATCTTGATGGGCTGATCAATACGAGACTCGGGCTGCTGTTACCAAAGAAGAGAAAATTACCCCTCCGGTAATCAAGGGTGTGTGTGTGTGTGTGTGTGTTAGTTCTACTTCATTTACAAAAGCCGTTATTGTAATGGTTCCAGCATTAACAGCTGGGGCAATCTGAAGCGGCGTCCGGGGGCCATGATGAATTTTAAAACAGAGAGCATTTGCCATACTCTCCATCATACCTTTCATCGGCTCACCCTCCTGAATCAGGGCATTGTTTCCAACCCCATAGGTGATGCATTACACCCCACGTGCGCTATTCCTCAAACAAGCTGTCTCGATAACAGCGCTTGGGGGGAGCCAATGGCTTAGCACCCTGGACCCTTACTGGCAGACAATTTTTTTTTAACTTTTATACACACATGAACAAACAAATAAACATACTCAGTATGTGTGTTCATGTACTGTGTGTGTGTGTGTGAGAGAGAGAGAACTATTCTAAGTGGATAAGATACATATATATATGGAGAGAAAGAGAGAGATATTAGATATATATGTGTAGTCCTCAATTTTTAGTCTCAAGGACTACACACATATATGATATAGAGAGATAGAGAGAGAGAGAAAGAGAGAGAGAGATTATATATATTATATTATATTATATTATATTATATTATATTATATTATATATTAGTGTTGAGGACTAATATATATATATTAGTGTTGAGAGAGAGAGAAAGGGAGAGGGAGAGGGAGGGAGGAGGGAAGAGAGAGAGAGAGAGGGAGAGAGAGATTAGATAGCTATAGATTAGATATAGATATATGGATATAGTCTTTTAGTGACTTTTTTTAAGTTCTTTTAGTGACTTTTTAAAGTGATAATGGCAGTGGGAAAAAGTGAATTATGACTGCTTTTCGCACTTACGACTGTTTCCAACACCCTCCGGGACACGAGATCAAAATCCAGACACTTGGCAACTGGTTCACATTTATGATGGTTGCAGTGCTCCGGGAACAGACAGATTCACTTAACAACAGTGTTAGTAACTTAATTTGATTCAGTTATCAACTGTGGCAAGAAAGGTCATAACACAAGGCAAAATTCACCTCATTTATCTACATAAATTTTGGCCTCAATTGTGGTCGTAAACTATCTTTATATAGCTGGCCTTGTGTACAGGATCAACTGCACAGCGTATGGGCTATACCTTCCCGAGCCCAGATGGAATATACCACACAGATTCGAGGAGAATGTGATGGCTAAGATCCTTCTAGATCCAGGCAGACAAGCAGATACTGGGTAATCAAACCGACATTGTGATAGTTGACAAGGACCAGAAGACAACGGTGGTGATTGATGTAGCAGTGACAGTAACATCAGGAAGCAGAATGGTAAGCTGGAGAAACACCCCGGCCTGAAAGAGGAACTAGAGATGTGGAAAAGTTGTCAAAGTTGTCCCAGTAGGAACACCAAGATTGTGACTCTAGTACTCCAAAGCCTTCACCATGCCATCATCCAATCCAAGGGTCTTCAAACTTGACAAGTTTAAGACTTGTGGACTACCAACTCCCAGAATTCCTGAGCTAGTATGACTGGAGGAGGAATTCTGGGAGTTGAAGTCCACAAGTCATAAAGCTGTCAAGTTTGAAGACCCCTGATTCCAATCCAATGAGGGAGAACCTCATTCCTGAGGCACATTATGTTCTTCAGCCATGACATCACATGGTTCTGATATTATCTAAAGTTGTAAAAAAGTTGACTATCCACCTACACAGAAGAACCAGGAAGCCACTTGGAAGACTACCTTCTACTCCAGAGATGTGAAACCTGAAGGCCTACCCTTGAACTTCTAGAAAAGAGCTTCCCAACCTCGGCCATGTTTAGGGATATGGACTTCAACTCCCAGAATTCCACTGCCATTGCTGGGGAGTCTGGGAACTGAAGTCTCCTCACCTTCAATTGGCCACGGTTGGGCAACATTGTTCTAAAAGCTTCGTCTTGACCATGCAAATATTGGAGTGCTCCATGATATCAAATAGGAATTAAATGCCTGTATACTCCATAATTCACAAGGATGAAGCAGCTCATTTGAAAGTATGATTTGCTCAGTTTCCTGAACAATTTGAGGTTGACAAAGTTCCCTCCACATTACAGGCCATCAATTATGACTTGTAAAACCAACTCCTGTCTTACATTGAGACAACTTCATGCAAACATTATGGGTTGGGGTGATGAATTAACCTTGTAATCACTATCCAACCAATTACTTTACTTCCTCTAAATGTGGAACTCTCACGAACTCTCGCTATAAAAACCAGATTATCCCAGTGAATCTTTAATTCTGAAAAAAGCAAAAACAAATGAAACTAACAAACACAATGAAATAATACAATCAAACTTGCCTTTCCTGTTGCAGTTTACGGGTTAAGTAAACATGGAAAGACAAAGTTACAGTTCTTGCTGGAATGCTTCACAACAATTGTAACCTTATCTCAACTGGGCCTGAGAATAAAATACATTAAAGGCCAATGTATTTCTAAATAATTATCTGTTATTTGGGCTGCATTGTTAAACAATGTATTCTTTTAGAAAGTAAGGGAAAGAGATATAAGTTTGTTATTTGCAACGCAGCCAGAAACATCAGGGAAGGAATGAGTTGTTTCTACTAGCATTTGAAAGGACTGAATCTGCCCTTAATTCCTTCAGGAGATGATATTTTTCTTCTCACTGCTGTTATTTATTTGATATTTATTTGTTATCTGACCTGTATTTATTTTATACGTAACTCAAGGCAGCTACTATAACTAATAACCCTGGTCACATAAGCAAAATTCAAACACTTGGCAACTGATACGTATTTATGATGGAGGCAGTGTCTCGGCATTACATGATCCCCTTTTGTAACGGTTGTTAAGTGAATCTTGGCTTCCCCCTTGACTAGCAAAGGCTGTGGGGGAGGCCAGATTCACTCAACAACCGCCTCACTAACTAGTATCTCTTATTAAAAAGTAACGTTACTTTCAGTGATGTTACAGGTAGACCTCGACTTACGACCACAATTTTGAGCCCCAAAGTTTGTGGTTGCCATTCAGTGCGTTTTGCCCTCCATTTTACGGCCTTTCATGTCACCAGGTGAATCCCTGTCATTATTCAATTAGTAATACGTTTTTAAGGGAATCTGGTTTTGACTTTGGCTTGTCCGATGGTCACAAAAGGAGACTACCTGTCTTCGGGACCCTGCAACCGTCATAAATGTGAATCCGTCTGCCAAGCATCCAAATGTCAACCACGTGACAAATGTCATTAAGTGTGAAAATATGGTCCCAAGTCCCCCCCCCCTTTTTTTTTTCAGTGCCGTTGCAACTTCGGTCACTGAATGAACTGTTGTAAGTCGAGGGCTACCTGTTTCCATTCCAGACCAACTATTGTCCAATCTCTTCTTTTTTAAAAAAAAGTTGTTGGAGCAGCCACCACTTCTAGTGGCAAGTCGTTCCGCTGGTAATTTTTTTCTCACTTAACGGAAAAGGTCTCCTTTCTTCTAAAGGGCAGCTTCTCTCCTCGATCAGTTTTGTGCAAAACCGAGGTTTGCACGCTGAATTTGCACACTTGGGTTTGGGGTGTGTGTGTGTGAATCAACTCAGCGCATCACTTCGGCTTTGCACAGCCAGCACCTCTGTGCCCGGGCTGCTTTTCTTTTTGGGGCTAAGCTTTACCTTCGCCTCCTTCTCTTTTTCCTCCGCCCGAGTCCGCCTCATGCTCCCCCGGCGAGCTTTCCCACGTGCTGAAGAACCCGACTCGCTTCCCGCCTTGAACGGTGGGGAGAAACACCCGCTTCTTGCCCCCCCACCGGGCAGCGTTGATCAGCCTTTCGGGACTCTGGAACCACAACTCCCGAGACGCCCCGCGCAGCTTCCGCCGGCGGAGGCCATCCCCGGAAATCGCGTTTGACGTCCCGCGGGCGGGAAAGCGAGGAATTCCGCGGCGGAGAAATACAACTCCCAGAAGTCAGCGCAACGGAGTGGCGGTGGAAGTGAGATTGGTGGGGGGAACGTCTCCCTTTGGAAAGAGCGCCCTAGGGCGGAAGTGACGTCAGGGGTAGCAACGGAGCGGTTGCTAACGGGGGAAAGCGACGCAGCGAGGAAGAAGAGGAGGAGGAGGAGGAGGAGGAAGGCTGATGTGACCTGGTAATAGGAGGAGGAAGAGGAGGAGATGAAGGCCGGCCAGGAGGAAGGAGATCGGATGCGGCATCTGTAGGTGATTCTTCTATGAATATATTTCATTGATTCATTGACTGATTGATTTGACTGATTGATTGATTGACTGACTGATTGATTGATTGATTAGAGCTCCCTATGGACGCCTTATGTATTTTTTATGAATGATCGGGAATTATTAAAAAGAAGGGCGCCACATCTGAGATGGTAGGTGTATACAATGCCCCAGAGGACAGGTAGTCCTCTACTTATGACCACAATTGAGCCCAAACGCTTTGGTTGCTAAGTGAGACCTTGGCGAAGTAAACTTAAGGACCTAGTTCCGAACCCCATTGTTAAGTGAATCCGGCTTCCCCCCCACCCCCCGGACTTGGCTCACCTGAAGGTCACAAAAACGTGGATCCCCCTGCACAATCCGTCATAAATACGAGTTGGATGCCGAGCGTCTGAATTTGGATCAGGTGACCCCGGAGATCTGGATGCTGCAACGGTCGTAAGTGTGAAAAGTGGG